ACAATCAACAAAATCAAAGGAATCCAGCCCTGAGATGGTTTTTACACTGCTGGCCACACAGCTCACAGAAGATATTGATTCATGCAGACAGTGTGGAGCCATGTGGGTTACTGTGACAATCACAAGCATCCAACATTAATCAAAGACTTTAACACCTTGTCTAAAACATTGGAGGGTTGGAACTATAGGGAGAGGCTGAATAGGCTAGGATAGCAAGGTGTAAAGCTGGATGAACACATCAGGTCAGGCAGCAGAGGAACAGGAAAGCTGACCCTTCTTCAGAAATGGGGGAGAGGAAGGGGACTCTGAAATAAATAGAGAGGGGGGGCGGAGGCAGATGGAAGGTGGAGAAAGGAGCAGGTAGGTGGAGAGGAGACAGACAGGTCAGGGAGGCGGGGATGGAGACAGTAAAGGTGAGTGTATGTGGGGAGTTAGGATGGGGGTTGGTCAGTCAAGGGAAGATGGACAGGTCAAGGAGGCGGGGATGAAGCTGGTAAGTAGGAGGTGGGGGTGAGGGTTGGTCAGTAGGGTTGGAGGAGCGGATAGGTGGGAGAAAAGACGGACAGGTCAAGGAGGTGGGGACGAGCTGGACTGGTTTTGGGATGAGGTCAGGGGTGGGGAGATTTTGAAGCTTGTGAAGTCCACATTGAGACCATTGGCCTGCAGGGTTCCCAAACGAAATATGAGGTGCTGTTCCTGCAACCTTCGGGTGGCATCATTGTGGCACTGGAAAAGGCCCGACCATCTTCAGCTGCTTCATCGATGACCTTCCCTCCATCATAAGGTCAGAATTGGGGATGTTCACCGACAATTGCACAATGTTCAGCACCATTCGTGACTCCTCAGATACTGAAGCAGTCCATGTTCACATGCAACAAGATCTGGACAATATCCAGGCTTGGGCTGACAAGTGGCAAGCGACATTCACACCACACAAATGCCAGGCTATGATCATCACAAATAAGAGACAATCTATCCACCGCCCCTTGACATTCAATAGTGAATCCCCCACTATCAACATACTGGGGCTTACCATTGACCAGAAACTCAAATGGACTCACCACATTAACACAGTGGCTACAAGAGCATGCCAGAAGCTGGAAATACTGCAGCGAGTAACTCACCTCCTGACTCCTCAAAGCCTGTCCACCAACTACAAGGCACAAGTCAGGAGTGTGATGGAATACTCCCCACTTGCCTGGATGAGTGCAGCCCCAACAACACTCAAGAAGCTTGACACCGTCCAGGACAAAGCAGCCCGCTTGATTGGCACTACATCCACAAGCATTCACTCCCTCCACCACCGACGCTCAGTAGCAGCAGTGTGTACTATCTACAAGGTGCACTGCAGAAATTCACCAAAGATCCTCAGGCAGCACCTTCCAAACCCACGACCACTTCCATCTAGAAGGACAGATATATGGAAACACCATCACGTCCAAGTTCCTCTCCAAGTCACTCACCATCCTGACTTGGAAATATATCGCCGCTCCTACACTGTTGCTGGGTCAAAAACCTGGAATTCCCTCCCTATTAGCATTGTGAGTCAACCCACAGCAGGAGGACTGCAGCGGTTCAAAAAGGCAGCTCACTACCACCTTCTCAAGGGAGATGAGATGGGCCCACATCCCACAAATGAATAAAAAAAAGTCCATGAGCCCAGTGCAGTAAAATGGAACTACAGCAAACAGTAGTATATTTTTGGCTGTACAGACTTAATGAGCCAAAGGGCCTCTTCATACTGAATGATTCTCTGATTCTATATCGATGAAATCGATATTGATGATCTTCTATATTGCTGATTTAATATAAAAACACATCATTCAGAGCAACAACCAGTATTTTATAGGATCTTTTGAAGTAGTGACTGCTCTAAGGGGGAGGATCAGAAAGAGAAAAAGGTAGGAAGAGAAAAAGGACAATGGAAATAGACAATAACTATGGTGTAAGAACTAGGAGGATGCTTGATTGCAAAGAAGGGTTTTGAGACAGTTTTTGAAAAATGGATGAATAACTAGGGATTTGGAGAAGGAGTTCCATAGAATAAGGCGGGGCTAGCTGCAACTCAACAATAACGTTGAGGCAAAAGGCTGACGAATGCACAAAAGGACAGGATTGAAGTAGAAAAAAAATGTGGAAGATGATATAAAACTGGACACACGCAGAGTGTATGTGGAGCTCTGAATAAGAATCTTAAGTTTGACATGTTGCAGAACAGGCACTTAATTTAGCTCTACAAGGGCAGGAGCAAGTGATAAAGATGAAGGCACAGAGAATACCAAGTTTTGGATCAGTTGGCATTTACATCGCATGGAGCTTGTAAAATTCGTGAGGAAGACACTGGTTATGTGGGAGATGTGCTGAAACAAAATCCTGTGTATAGGCTTTATGTCTTAAAAATGGGTTAGCTCAGCTCTGGGTTGAACAAGATAGCAGGACTTCTAATGGTCTTTTCCAAACAAAGAAGTGATAGGAAGAAATGAGGAATTAGAGATAAAGGAGTGAAATTTACAGTGTCTCAAAGGTCATGATATTGGTCTTCCTGATGTTTATTCAAATGAACTTAAGTTCATTCATAGTTCTGTAGACAAGTGATTCAGAGTGCATATGACAAATTACAAATTGGAGTCTACAGATGCTGTCACTGAATGGCACCGATATGCGGAAGTGGAGCATGAACATCATGGATCTGTGTGTTGCAAGATTGAAAGAAGATGGGGAAGTTGTTGGATGAATTAAAATGGTACTCCATAAAGACAGTGTTACAAAGCAAGGAAAGCGGACAGGCAGCAGAGAAGAATGATACTGTTAAACATACCCAATTCTGCAGATATTTGAGGAAGGAATACTACTACTAATCTTTAAAAAATTCCACTTTCTAACTGTACTATTGGGGGTTAGTTTCAAAGGCTACACCATAATTAAAATTACATGCAATGGACAAAAAAAATGCCAGAGAAATAGAAAGGAAGAAAAGAAGGAAAGCCAAAAATAAAGAACCGAAAGGAATGATCAGCAAAGCTAGAAAATTACATTGAAACAAAAGGGAAGGAATAAAGAGGAATAAACGATGCCAAATGATAGGAGAAGTTAGTAAAAGGAAATAGAACTGGAATGGGGAAGGAAACAGTAAAATAAATAGTGCAGAAACACAACAGGTAGATGCTGCCAAAAATACAACCCATTACTTTAGAGTGAAATCTAAGGAACACAAGCTGACAGGATGCAAAAAACTCATATACCTTTGCAAAGTGGACAAAGTTTTAGCAAATCATGTCAATGTACAGTAAAAGAGAAAACTTCAGCTGTGATGGTTCATAGCTTAATATTGGAACAACACCCCTGAAATGAAAGAGAACCTGAGACCTAATCCAACTGAGAACTTGAATTGTGCATTTAAAAACTGAAGAGCTGAAGGACAAGCTCCAAAATATGTCTGCTGGTATGGCTGCGATGCAATTTTTCAAACCACCACATAGGTGGGTGGTCAACTAAGTAAACTATGTTAAGGTGACCAGCAGTTTGATACCATCTCAAAAAGAACTTTGGCTAATTTGCACAAATTTTCAGCCCTGAAAATATTTTGGCTGTATATTTGCTATAAAAGCAAAAGCAATGTTATAATGGAAAATATTCCAAAGTAATGGTGGAGGAAAACAAACAACAAATCAAGGTAGTTGTTTTGGAGGTGCTGCTCTATTCCACAAAGTAAACTTAGACCCTATGCACAAAGTAAAGGAAAAAGGAAAGAAACCAGCTACACCAGATTTCCTGCTGCTTCCACGGGAACCCCATGAGGTTGCCGAGCATTTAAACTCCACAAAAGTGCAATCAAAAGGCAACAATGGTTTAGTGGGGCCTGCACCTCATTATCCTGCAATTGGTCTGAGGTACAGGGATTAGGAAGACCACCTAGTAGAAAGCCCACACAAACTTTCGGTATTGAAATCCTCTGATATTGAACAATATTTAGAAAACCCAAAGTCATCCGTTGTTATTACTTCTGGCAAAACAGGTTGAGTTTCTGCCCAAACATCAGGTGTAAAAGTCCTAACGTACTCAGTCAAAAGAAAGTAAGTATTATATCTGTGTTTACAAACGACACCCTCAATTGATCTCAAGACCGAAACTTATAGATAACAAGAATGCAATTTGATACCAGTCAGAAAAGCAAGTTCCATCTACAGCTACAAAGCAACAAAAGGAGTGGTTAGTCTGTTTGGATAAAGTTAAGAAGATACAAGTAAAATAGTTTAACAGTAATTCAGGCAATTGCGCAGAAACAGCTTCTACACCAAATTTTCAAAATATTTCAGTAGAGACAGTATTGGAATTGAATGTTCAAAGGTGCTCACTTGCCGCCGGAAGTAAAATTTAAGTAATTTGTTTTCAAGGAACTAGATTCTTGGGGACGAAAGAAGATTACATTAACCTTGTACAACATTTATTTTACTGACAAAAAATGTATTGTTTCCAGCACAACCATTTTTGAAAAGAAATCTGAATTGAGAGGATACTGTTGTGAAGTCTGTTGTGTCAATTGCATAGTTACAGATTTCAGGCTGTTAAATGTGTGTCAGCTGCAATACAGTACTTTTATCTATGAGTTAGAAGCTTACGGGTCCAAGTTCCAGGTTCAGAATCTCAAGTGCAACATCAAAGCACTGCCATATTTCGGAAGAGATATTAATATTCTGTACCACAATTTTCAAGTGAGCAAAGGAGTTAACCTTGGTGTTCTGAAATAACATCCTTCAAATAACATCACAAATACAGGTTATCTGGTCTCTGCCTTTTGTGAAAGCTTGCTGGGCACAAATTGACTGCCTCACTTCCAAAACTGCATCAGTGACTACACTTCAAAATATTCTCAGGAGCATATTGAGTTTGGGTAACATGCCATGTAAATGCAAGCCTCTCTTATTCAAATGTAGGAAAGAAACCTACTAACAACCTACTAACTCAACTTCAACTGGGAAAAACTGATCAGGTCAACTTACCAACAAATTGTCACAGATTCCATTGGCTATTTTTCCCAGCGTGTTGGCATCCAAAGGTGCTATCACCATTAGATCTGCCCATCTCCTCAAATCTATGTGTAGAACAGGATCTGACCTCTGCTTCCACATCTAAAGGGAGCAAAATAGATCACAAATGACGGCAGTACTGTACGGTAATTGCCAAAATACAGCATGAAGCTAAGCACATTTGCTTTTAATGCGGTCATGCAGAGAAGGATATCACATCCAAGTTAAGATACAATGAGCATGAGGGAGTGCACGATATAATTTTGAGCAATGGGCAGCAGATCCGTAAATGGACCGAAATGGTGTTGAATTTCAGAATGCTGCAGCCCCATCGTGCATGAAAGACCTGGTGATGATATAGATGAGGACAATCATCCTTCTATACCTCCCTCAATTACAAAATAACAAACAGGAACAAAATACTGAAAATAATTCCAATTATTCATATTGTATATGCAGGAAATTTGTGTAGAAAAAAAACACCACTACTTGCGGATTCTGAATTATTTTAAAATTAGTATCAAATCAGTTGCAATCAGGTATCCATGGACAGTCACCATCTGAACAGTTCTCATAGGATCATCTTGATTAACACACATAAACATTTACACAAAACCCAATTTGTGGGAGGTCTTGTTGCCCACTCAAGTTCCATGTTAAATAAAAAAATGAAGTCAGTTTTGAAGCAGGAGAGAAGGACAGGACTAGACAGGCTATTTTTTTCTTCCCTAACCACTGCTGAAATTGTCCAGCAATGCAAACAAGCCAGTCAGAAGGAGTGCTGATAGATGAATAACTAACGACACTCCCAGATATACTGTGAGCTAGTCAGGCTGTCTTTTCTGGATGCTAGAATCGTGTGGAACATTCCTCAGCCTCAGTTGCTAGACACAGCCTATTGTCACTTATGTTTAAACAAGGAAGATTTCTTTGAATGCAAATTCATTCTTTTTCATAGATTTTGACTAGTTGCTGTTACTGAAGGTTAGACAGTTTAACATCAATTGTGACAAAAACATTCTAAAACAATCAAACTTGTGAATTGAGATTTGTTTCATATCATCATTCACTCACTGGGTTAAACAACCGAATTAACAAAATATATTCATTTTGAAAATGGAGTAGCAGTAACAGGAAAAGTTTTTTTCTTCTCCCACTTCATAATCACATTGCTCCTTGTAGAAAATTGGCACTGTCAAAAGTGGAAAAAATGCCATTGCTTGTGAAATGATGACATTAGTACTTGATGACACGTTTCAAATTCAGATGCATCATAGGTATGTGATCGGACATAGTCACTGCCTTAATGGGTTTGGATGTCTTATTCCATGGGAGTGATCAGAGACTGTTCTGCAACTACTGCAACAACATACCCCAATAATGTAATAATCACATTGTTGTGCAATTTATATTCAGTAGTTGTACATTTCCTGAATTTATCAGGCATACTTAGCAAAAAAAATTAATGTGACAAGAATGATCAAGCTGTTTTATTTACAGTTATGATCAGGTTCCACCATTGCAATACTAAACTATCATGACGTAATAATATAAAAATCAGAATTGTGTGACCTCACTTCGGACAGTACTTGAGATAAAGTCAATTTTCACACTCCACTCTCCTATTTACCATCCATCTTGACCACCTTTCTCCTTAAGTTTAAAGAAATCTCTGAGACCAGTGTCAGTTTTTAAATCAACACTAACTACCTCATTTTACCCCAGAACAGAAAGGTCAAGTGAACAGATCTGTTGCAAACGTACAGTGTGAATAATAACAAATTGCAAACGCACAGTGTGAATAATAACAAATTTCAAAGTAACGGTCACTGTCATCAGCATGTAGTTCAGATGCCCCATTTAATAGCAAATCACTACCTTCAAGTGCTGCTATCTTTAACCTCTAGAGAGTTCAGCTTAGATCCAGTGTAGTATTTTAATGTACTATATGCAAGACCCAAGTTAAAATATAGTCAGAAATTCCAAAATATGACAAAGTAGTACTAGGGAACATCTTCTAGAATTTAAATACATAATCAATGATGTTCTTTTCATGTATTTGCAGAATTATTTGCCTAAGAAAAATGTAATTTGAATATAACCGACCTATTTAATTATAACAAAATCTGTTGTCCAATGGAAGGACTTGGTTTTGCTCAGTTTATTTGCATTTATTTCTGAAGTAAGGAATATAGAATATATTACCTCCCATTCATCTGAATCACTATATATTTTAGCAGGAACATCTTTGGAGTCATAAAAGTGTTTTGCATGTTCTGTGGTCACCACTATTAATTCAACCTGTAAAATAAAGAGACACAGTGAAACATACATCATTGTACAGTGTTGTATTGCAATTAATGGTTTCTATGATAAATGATAGGAGTTTCACTTCAAGATCAACAAACCTATGTTGGTATGCATTCCTTCGCTGTTGTTGGTACAAGTAAACTTCTGGTTACCAAGTAGTTTTGCACAGGAAGAACATGCATTTACCATGTTCCTTTATTAGAAGACTGTATTGACAGTGCCTAAGACCCCCGGGATAAATCTTTTTCACTAACACTACACTATAATTGGAATTGGCTTACTTAATCTCCTCGAAACCACATCATTGTCAAGAAACAGAAGTAAATGCATATCTTTCAAAAACAAGTTCCACTTCACCAATGAACATTTATTACAATTCTGTTTTTGCTTTAAGTGAAAATTGCTAACTCTCTACTGGGTTGGAAAAGCATAGTCGTTATGCTATGACTAATACTCCAGAAGCATGGACTAATGATTTGTGATGAGTTCAAATTCCACCTAGAGAGCTGGAGATAATGAAGTAGCACATACTAAAAGCAAAAAGTTATATTAAATTTCAGAAACTGAGAGAACCCAGTGAAACAAGTGACAGTTTTACCCTACCACGTTGACTTCCTCCCTCTTGCCACACAGTTTTTTTTCCCACACCTGTTATCTTACTGATCTCCAGCTGGCATGAAACGCTACAAGAGTATTGCTTTACCACCACAGCTATGAAAAGGAAAGCACTTTATTAAATACATTATCACAGCTCAAGCACATTTCTACTGTGACTGTAAGATCTTTGCCACAGGCAAAGGGTGATTCCTGAATTGCACAGCTCAACGTGTTCAAGTACAGCACTTGCCACAGTGACTCATTGGGAAAACATGCTAAGAGTGTCAAAATCAGAAATTGCTGGGAAAACCCCAGCAGGTCTGGCAGCAACTATGGAGAGAATGCAGAGCTAAAGTTTCGGGTCCAGTGACCCTCCTTCACAACATTCTGAAGGAGGGTGACAGGACCCGAAACGTTAACTCTGCCTTCTGTCCACAGATGCTGCCAGACCCACTGAGATTTTCCGGTGATTTCTGGTTTTGTTTCTGATTTCCAGCAGCAGCGCGTCTTTGTTTTTTTTTTGCTAAGAGTGTCATCCTGAGCCATTTAGATCAAAACAATCTCAGGATCAACATATGTCCAAACAAGGGAATTGGGTGAAGAGCAGATAGGGTTAGGAAGAAAGTTGTTGCAGTTAGCCCCAGCTATAACTTACTAATCAGAAGAAAATGTGAAAATATTCTTACTTAAGCTGGCTTCTAACCTGGTATAGCACTTTTGGTGGCATCTTATCACTTTCTAGAGGCAGAATGTTCAGTTTGGGGTACCAACTCTCTAAAATTTAACATCAAATTGCCAGGTCACTCTTGCAAGCAACAGCAGGGAGAACAATCAGTGAGTCAGTCTAATGTATTGTGTGTGTTTCTACTTTATTTGAAAACTATCCCTCATTTAGAAATATTAGCAGTGGTACAGAAACTGTTTGATGGACAGTCAAGGATCTTACAATTGGATGATGGAAGAGTATATTAATTTACCTTTGCCACCGGAGATGGAGTGACAAGAGGATTTACACAATGGTCAATCACTGCCAAGTGTGGGGGAGTGGGATGGTTGGTGGCAGGTCATGTGGCAATAGCTCCAGGAATCAATCCAAGGAATATTCAAACCCTATCCCATTCTACAAATTTCAACACATAAGCTATTCCGACTGGTGCAATATTGAGGAAATGCTGGCTAATTGGAAAGTGGTATTCTTTGGATGAGATGGCATGCTTCTATCTCCCTATTCCTGCGTCTCAATGTGCATCAAACATCAAACAGCAGAGGAATCTTTCTTGCAAACACTTCCCGGAGTCAAAATCAGGTCAACTGTGGGTAGCTGCTGTTAAAGGTTGCTCACATTTATCTACTCAAAGTCACTGTACTGAATAATGTGCCAAACACAAGTCTTTCTAATTTTCCAGTGGCAGAATGGGCACTTTCTTTCTGGAACTGTGTCCTGTTTAATGTCTAGACAGAAGAATAGTAGGATCATCTATGAAACATGGAGAAAGAAGCCTGACAGGAAAATGACATCAGACACTAGGGTATGATTTGGTTAAAACAACACTGGGTTTGATTTACCACAGCTATTGAGTATCATTTTAAAAATTACAGTGTCCTATTATTTTAAACTGCAGTGGTGAAAGGCTTATAAAAAAAAATCAACGACGCTGAAAACGTAAATCAACAGGCTTTATGCATGTATTTTGGTGTACCACAAGCAAAAATTTAATGGATTAATTGTATTGTAATGATGTGAAAATAATTTGGATATAAAACAGAGTTGAGGGTAAATGCTGCAAATTCAAATACTATTTACCTCATTAAATCATAAAGCATAGATCGTCATTTGGCCGAGTGTGCCAATGCTGGCCCCTTGAAAGAGCTATCGAAGAGTCTCACTCACCTACCCTTTCTCCAAGGCCCTGCAAAAAGTTTCACTTCAAGTATTTATTCAATGCTGTTTTGAAACTTATTACTGAATCTGCTTCCACTGTCCTTTCAAGTGGTGCATTCTGGATCACAACAACCTGCAGCACAATAAACTTTCTCAACTCCTTTCTGGTTCCTATTGCCTATCTGCTTACAACTCTCCTGGTTGTTGCCCATTCTGACACTGGAAATAATTTTTCCTTGCTTATTCAAACAAAACATTTCAAGACTTTTAACAACTCAGATAAATCTGCCTATAAGCATATCCTACTGTGCTCCAAGGAGAGTAAATTCTATAGACTCCACATAATTTAAGTCCCTCTTCCCAAGATTTACTCCATAAAATCCGCACTCTCTTAAAGAGTTTGACATTCATTCTGAAGTGTAGTGCCCAGGACTGAACAGTTGGAACCAAATCAGTGATGCATAAAAGTTAACCAAAACTATAGGAATAAAGGAGCAGTGTAAGCTAGTTGGCCCACTGGACATGCTCAGTTAGCGCAACATACCAACTGCACATGGGGCTGTATCTGTCGAGGGAAATGTATGGTTAGGGTCAGGTTCTTTCAATGGCGTTTCTAACCATAAGGACAAAACACAGGACCCAAATGGAGCTAGGGGGTTGCCTGCTAAGGGTGGGGACATTCATAGAAAAATAGAAAATAGGTGCAGTAGGAGGCCATTCGGTCCTTCGGGCCTATACCACCATTCAATAGGATCAAGGCTGACCACACAATCTTAATGTCCCATTCCCACTTTCTCTCCATACCCCTTGATCCCTTTATCTGCAAGGGCCAGGTTCAGCTCCCTCTTGAATGTATCTAATGAACTGGCCCCAACATCTCCTGTGGGAGAGAATTCACAAATCTGAGTGAAGAAATTCTTCCTCACCTCAGTCCTGAATGGCTTATCCCTTATTCTTAGACTGTGACCCCTAGTTCTAGACTTCACCAACATTGGGAACATTCTTCCCTCATCTAGCCTGTCCAGTTCCATCAGGATTTTATATGTTTCTGTGAGATCCGACCCTCATTCTTCTTAATTCCAACAAAAACAAGCTCAGTTGAAATCAGTCTTTACTCATATGTCAGTACTGCTATCCCATAAATCAGTCTAATGAGCCTTCACTGAACTCCTTCAATAGAAAGAATGCCCTTCCTCAGACAGGTGGCCAAAACTGCACACTGCACTCAAGGTGTGGCCTCACCAAGGACCTGTATAACTGCAGCATAACATCTTACTCCAATACTCAAATCCTCTCGCTATGAAGGCCAGCATGCCATTAGCTTTCCTCACCGCCTGCATGCCAACCTTCAGCGACTGTTCCATCATGACACCCAGGTCTTGTTGCACCTCACCTTTTCCTAAACTGCCACCATTCAGATTATAATCTGCCTTCCTGTTTTTGCAACCAAAGTGGATAACCTCACATTTATCCATTTTATATTGCATTTGCCAACTCAGCCAGTCTGTCCAATTCACCCTGCAGCCTCTTTGCATCCTCCTCACAGCACACACATCTACCCAGCTTAGTGTCATCTGCAAATTTAGATTGATTTGCATTGAATACCTTCATCCAAATCATTAATGTAAGTTCTGAACAGATGAGGTTTCAGCACTGAACTCTGCAGCACCCAATCATCACTGCCTGCCACTCTGAAAGGGGCCCATTTCTTCCAACTCTCTGCTTCCTGTCTGCCAACCAGTTCACTATCCACGTCAATACATTACCTCCGATACCATGAGCTTTAATTTTCCTTACTAATTTCTTGAGTGGAACCTTGTCAAAAGCCCTTTGAAAGTCCAGATACACAACATCTACTGTTTCACCCTTGTCCACTCTACTGGTCACATCCTCAAAAAGTTCCAGAAGATTTGTTAAGCATGTTAAGCCCTTAGTGAATCCACACTGACTAGGACCGACTGTCATTGCTTTCCACATGCTCTGTTATTACATCGTTAATAACTTACTTCAGCATTTCCCCACAACCTATGTCAGGCTAACCGGCCTAAAATTCCCCATTTTCTCTCTTTTTTTTTTAAAATCGGGGTTACATTAACTACTGTCCAGTCCATTGGAACTCTTCCAGAGTCTACAGAATGCTGGAAAATGATCACTAATGCATCCGCTATTTCTACATCCACTTCCTTAAGTATTCTGGGATACAGAGCATCAGGCCCTGGGGCCTTATCCGGTTTTAATAATCCCATCAATTTCCCCAATACCATTTCCTGACTAATAAGGATTTCCTTCAGTTCCTCCTTCATGCTCGACTCTCTGTCCCCTAGCATTTCCTTAAAGCATTCCTCCTTAGCAAAGACAGATCCAAAGTATTTGTTCAACTAGTCTGCAATCTCTTTGCTGTCCATTATGACTTCACCTGATTCTAACTGCAAGGGACCTACAAATGTCTTCAGTCTTTTTCTCTTCACATATCTACAAAAGCTTTTGCAGTAAATTTTTATGTTTTCTACAA